AAAATGCAGGGTAGTGGGACTAGTTAGTTCAACAATCGTAAACAAAACAAATGTAGAAACAACCTGAGTAAAGCCTTGCAGACTAGGAACATGGGACGATGACGGATATATGGAAAGAATGGAATTCTACAAGACAGACAGACACTGTTCGATGACGCACTTCAACTCAATAAAACAGTTGAAGCCATTAAAACAAAAAGACGGCAGTTTGGAAAGAACGGCAGGCGGAACAGGAACCATCATCATGTCCTTTAAACGACAATAGGATGACGTCGATATGTGAAAAGAATACAAGGAAAAAGGGACTAAAGATGGTTTGTAAATAGAGTTGTAATTTGATACCGTCCAAAAATATAGTCCACTTGAAAATGCACAAAACGAAAAGAAATCGACAACGGGATCACTTTCTTTGTGTATGCAGTGTACATATGAGCATTATTAACGTCAAAAATGAATTGAAAACTGATTTTCCCTACTAGATTAGATAGTTCTCTGATGAAACAGTATCAACCAAATGAGCACTTTAGGCGAAAACTACCCGAACACCCTTTTAACTAATATAGGGCTACAAAAAGACGAAAAACTACGAAATTGCAGCACTGCAGCAGCGTCAGGAACTCATCCGGAACTCATTCATACTTATTTTTAGAATCTATCGGGATTGGATCGGTCCAGACAAAATATTCAACAAGCAAAAAAAACGGAGGTGAGATCATTTGAATCGAAGAATAGCAAGGCGCCATTTATAAAAAACAAAAAATATTACAAACTTCAGACCACATACTTCACTCACACCTGTTTCTCAGCAAACGCTCTCGGCTGTGATTAATTGGTCCCATTGGTTTTTTGCATAGCTTTTTTCTTTGCAATCCATTGCATAGCGGAAATTTGTAGGATTCGGGAAACTACACTGAGCAAACAACAATGAACCTTTCTCCAGTATAACACTACACTGAAACCTCAAGTCGCTGGAATAAAAAAAGTTATGGGGCAGTTAAAATGCAGTCAGCTACGTTGACTTCACGTCGTAGTATAATCTTAGGGGTGACAGAAATAGAAAAATTACTCGAATTCGTAGAAAACTGAACAAAGCACATTTAAAACTGTTGAAAAGATAGTGATATTGTGTCCGATTTTTACAAATTCTCCTCGTTTAAATATGAAGCGAGTCCGTTTCAATCTTTCTCGCTGATTTTCAGCTCCGTTATCTCTTGATTCCCAGGTAATCGATGCTGCAATTTCAGAAATCTTCGGAGCACCCCCGTTTCTTATAGCGACAGAAATAATATTGCTATTTAACCAATCTAACGGAAGATTAATAATGCACTTAGTCTTATAAAATATAACACAAGAAGCAAAACATGTTTTTAATATTCTGATAAGCCTAATAAATGATGTCCGAAGTATGATTGGAATGATAACGGAAATTATGAAAAAGTTATGGAACCATTGCGTCGACACCAAGGAAATGGGGGTACGGGAGGAAGGAAAATTTGTTTCCAACGAAAGAAAAAGCAAAGTACCTAATCGATAAGCAGAAAAATAAATGAGCAGACAAGAACACTGAAGAAAACCGACGTTTGATTAAACATACCTTGCGTTTATTGATGACATTGTTGGTGATCAGCTGTTTACTTTGAAGTATACTAGCATGACGTGTAGCATCTTCGAGATCGAGTTCATCATCGTCACGTACCACCATGGTGCCGCTTTTCTAAGGGGAGGGTGGTCGAATCAATCCACACAGACAGACAGACAGACAGATCGCGACTGCTGCTGGGGACTGGGGTGCCGGGAATTGGGACCGACCGCGGGGCGCACGCCTGGGGATGATCGCGCACCTCTCGAAACTTGCGCCCTCCGCGTTCAACACTTCACCCTCTGCGTCTTGTACATCGTCGTGTTTGTCTGCAGACTCCTCTGTATCCACACTCTCTACTCTCGTACTCTCGCCTTCGCGCATCGATCGGATAATCGCGGTTGTACGTAATCACTATGGCCCTAATTTGCCCCGTTTCTGATCCCATCCCCGATCGAATGGTCTCTGGGAACTACATCGTTCTGTTCAGCACGGGAGAACACCCACAATACGATTGAACTATGGTCGTTCTGATAGAAAAAAAGCGGCTAGTGTGTCAATGTGGTCGTGTTTCGTTTTTTCTTGTTCTGTTCAGGGCAATTTGATGTGGGAAATGTTGGCCACCGGGTTTCCGGTCTTTCACATCCGGGATCTTCAGTTCCGGCTGTACTGAATACCTCTCCATCATGAGAGATATGCGCTATGTCATCAGCCACAATTGTCTCATCGCATTGTGCGATGGGATGATCTTGCGGGCAATGGGTGAAGGGGAAGGGGACCGCCGTCTTCGTCATTCGGGTGGTGGGTCAGTTGTATCCCCACAGAACGTTGCCCTCAACAACTGACTGCTCTATTTCTTACTCGTTAACCAGCCGTCGTTAAAAGATGATGTACTTGTGATTTCGAGTATTTCTTAGGATAGACGC